CTGTATATCAGCACTGGTGGGATGCTAAGGCAAAGCACGCCTCCCACCAGTGTTGATATACAGCCATATCGCACTGCTATGTGTGTGATATTGCCCATTTAAAGCATTTTGATCATTAGTTTTTTATGCCACAGGGGCGGCACAGTGGCCTAATGGTTAGCTCTATCCCCTCACAATAAGAAGGTTGCTGGTTCAAGTCTGCATGTTCTCCCTGTATTGGCATGGGTTTGCTCCGGTTTCTTCCACCGTCCAAACATATGCACTATAGGTGAATTTAATAAGCTGAATTGGCAGTAGTATGAGTGTGTGAATACGAGAGTGTATTGGTGTTTTCCAGTACTGGGTTTCAGCTAGAAGGTCATCCACTGTGTAAAACATGTGTTTGAATAGTTGGCGGTTCATTCCGCTGTTGCAACCCCTGATAAATAAGGGAGTAAGCCGAAGGAAAGTGAATGAATGAATTAGGGGTGTCGCGATTTCGTTTTTTAATCGAAATCGATCGAAATTTATGCTCAATTTCGATTATCGAATCCAAAAATAGAATCGTCGATGCTGCCACGCCCCCATGTCATGTCAGCTTGGCTTGCCAAGCGGGAAAAAAACATGCTTGTTGAAGTGCATGTTAAACTGCAGAAGCAGGAGACCCGTCGACAGAGCTTAAACCCTCTCCTCTTTCAATGAAGTCGCCAGTGTGTAAGCATTTTGGATTTCCAGTGAGTTATGTTGACAACGTTCGTGTTGTCGACAAAAAAAAAAAACACAGTTTTGCAAGCTCTGCTATGTACGTATTACGTACGGTTCGTCCGATAGACAACACCGGCATCGCGATCCTCCGCCCGCCCCCGTTGCAAATCCGCTCGCAAAAAGTACACACTCAGGCCCTGTTTACACTGTCTTTGTTTTTAAATGGCATTTTAGAACGACAACGATTTGACATCCACAGTGGCGTGCAGCATTTCTGAGCAGCCCTCCTTCCTCTCTACCTCTGAAAATGCACATCACGTGACCACACAGACACAGACGCACACACAGCCATGGGCTCGAGACAGCAGGTCCAGGCAGTCAGAGGACTTTTTTAGCGAACACCTCAGATACTGTTGGCTGGTTCCTGTTGGTTGTGCGTCTTTTTTTACCGACGCCATTTTAACGACACAGATCACTGCCTATTCACGAGTCCCGCAGAAAAAAGTGATTGACAGGTGGTAATTATGTGTGTCTTGCCTTTATTCATTTACTGTATGATTTGTTTATGGGTAAAACAAAGACCATGCAGGTCAGGTAGTTTAAACGGTAGGCTACAAATAATTAATTGGTCATTAAATAATTAATTATTCATAATCGACAATCAAATCGAATCGTGCCTTCAGAATCGAAAATGTAATCGAATCGAGGATTTGGAGGATCATGACACCCTTAGAATGAATACATTTAATATGACACATAAATAGTGTACAGCTGAACACACACACAAATACAGCACATATCAGGCCTGCGTCATCTCTTTTAACAAGAACGCATGTCTGTGGCAAAGGAAATGAGAGATAATTACACTAATTGGATCGATATCGCTATATAATCATAAGCTAAAGCAATTAGCCCTGTAGATTTCAGTGCAGGTGTCTTGTGGGTCTCCTTTACGTTTCTAAAGGTCGATTCAGGATATGAATTGATCTCAGCTCTCATTCTTCAAGCTCAAGTAATTGATAATCAATAGATGTTTGGCTGAAATGGGTGTTGGGTTTTGTACATCTGGAGCATTTAATAATACGCTGCAGTTTCCACCTCTCATCCATGTTGTTGTTGTTATTGGGTGCAGTTTTTTGCAGATCCGTGTGCCAGCAGTCCCTGTCTCCATGGCAACTGTAGTCAGGATGGCGAAGGGGAAGGGTTTTCATGCGAGTGCAGTGAGGGCTACAGCGGTGCCCGTTGTGACCTGCCAACCTTGACGTTTGACCTGTCCGAGTCCACCTGGGACCTCGCTGAGAGCCTCGTACCCGAGCACGCCACGCCTGCCACTCCGGCCACACCCGCCACCACCACTCAGGTGCTTCAGCCAACCACAGTCCTCACCACCACTCAAGCCCCACCCACCCTGGAGCCCTGGCAGCCCAGAGCCGGTCAGAGAGTGCTGGAGATACTGTGGGACGATCAGCAGGTGAGCAGGTGTGCGTCTGCATGCAGAAAGGGATAAGATGATACAGATTATTTTAGTAAACGAAGACTGAGGCTAAAAATTTTGGTCAAAAAACAAATTGTTAATTGAAATAAATTTTAAAAATCACAATAAATGGATGAACTAAAACTGAAATAATAAATGACAATAAAGGAAATGTAAGTGGGGTTAGCCGTGAAAATTCGCTGGGGTCAAATGCATTACCGTACTGCCCAAAAGCGTGAGAGTGCTGCTTTTGTAGTTACTAGGGTATTTTAAATGGTTGCTAGGCTGTGGGAATGCAGTTTGATAGGTGAAAATTTTATCAGCTTTTACCAAATGAACCTAAACCCTGAACCTAAACCTCTTTTTATGATGTTATGTGCTGATATAAGGCTTGTTATTTTTGTTATATGGTTGTTGGGCGCTATAAGTGGTTGCTAGGAAAAATGTACAATTTTGTTATATCACTACTTAATACCGGGTGATGCGGTGGCGCAGTGGGTAGCACGTTCGCCTCACAGCAAGAAGGTTGCATTTCTAATGCAGTACCTACTGAGTAGTAGGTGGTTTCGGACGCAGCCAATGAGTTTTAGTTGCATTAACCACCAGACTCGATGTCAGACGTTTTGTGCCAATGCTAAGTCTACCCTGCTGAAAAATCCAGCTTAAACCAGCCTAGGCTGGTTAGCTGGTTGACCAGCCTGGTTTTAGAGGGGTTTTGGCCATTTCCAGGCTGGTTACCAGCCACTTCCAGCCTGGTCTTAGCTGGTCAGGCTAGAAAATGACCAGCTAAATCTAGCTGAAACCAGCCTGGTTTAAGCTGGAGATAGCTGGTTTAGGCTGGGCTCCCAGACTGGTCAAGCTGGATTTAGCTGGTTTTAGTTGGTCATTTTCCAGCCTGACCAGCTAAGACCAGGCTGAAAATGGCTGGAAACCAGCCTGGAAATGGCCAAAACCCCT